GAAGGCAGACGCTTAACGACTGAGCCACCCAGGCGCCAACACATCTTTTTTAAACACATTTTTTTTTGTTTGAGGACAGCTGACACACAATGTTACATTAGTTTCAGGCATGTATCACAGTGATTCACCTTCTCTATGTAAGTTATGCTATGGAAAACACAAATATAACTTTTGACTCTCCCCAAACTTACCTACTAATAGCCTACTGTTGACCAGAAGCCTTACTGAGAACATAAACAGTCGATTCACATATTTCGTATGTTACGTGTATTACATACTGTATTCTTACAATAAAGTAAGCTAGAAAATAAAATGCTATTAAGAAAAATGTAAGGAGGAGAAATACATTTACATTACTGTATTGTGTTTGTTGGAAAAAATCGGTGTATAAGTGAATCCGCGCAGTTCCAACCTGTGTTCAAGGGTCCACTATATATTCTTTTTTCTCATTTTATACAAATGATAGTATAGTCCTAAGGCATCCATCTCTCCCTCAAGGACCACCTGAGGAGGCCCGCCACCCTTCAGTGACTGCCATGTGGACAGTGACTGTTGTACCCTGGTCCCCCCCCCCCACTCAACCCCCCAGCACCTTGTTAGAAATCCCAGACTGCAGGGGAAAGAGTGCCAGTGACCCTGGGAAAGAAGCTCGGGCCGCACCAGACCCCACGCACATCCTGCCAGCACTCTTGAAAACAGTAGAGAGAAACTTGAGCCGTGCTTCCTCATTTTGCAAATGGCAGCAGGAAAGAGTTACTCTTGCTCTCTACTGGGTCTCTTAGGTCTTCGGATACCCAGGGAGTCTTAGAAAGGATGGGCAGAAATTTTCTGTGCTTGGGAGAGGTGGTGCATAAAGGCTTGGCTCCCTCCTGCTGAAGAAGGGACGGAGGTCCCTGGGTTCCCTTGGCAAGAATGTTTCTGGGCTCTTCTTTCAGGCCATTCAGCAAGGGACCATCCAGTGCAACTTCGCCGGCGTCGCTTTGGGTGACTCGTGGATCTCCCCTGTTGGTAAGTACACAATCCTCAGATACTTCTTTACTCCTTTTCTCCATCCTTGCCTGGGACTTTGGGCTGTGTGGTGCAGATCAGAAAACAGGGAAACAGGATTTTCTGGGTCCTTAGAGATGTCAACACAAAAAGTGTTAACCCCAGAGGTGTCCAAGAAATTTGGGGATGAGAACTCATTTATAGAGCTCCCTACCGTGGACTGCTGCTGGCCAGACTGAATTCTCTTACTTGATTCTTACACCAAAAGAATCACATTTTACAGTTTAAGACTTTTTTTTTTTTTAAGAGTGGGAAGGGCAGAGGGGGAGAGAGAGAGAATCTTAAGCAGGCTCCATGCCCAGCGCAAGCCCACGGCAGGGCTCGATCTCACAGGCCTGAGATCATGACCTGTGCCAAAATCAAGATTTCGATGCCTAACTGACTGAGCCACCCAGGCACCCCTACAGTTGAAAACATTTTATTTTTTATTATTATTATTTTTTAAAAGATTTTATTTATTTATTTGACAGAGAGAGACACAGCGAGAGGGAACACAACAAGGGGAAGTGGGAGAGGGAGAATGAAAACATTTTAAAGACTAGAGCAGTGATGGAGTTTGCCCTCTGACACACAGCATGAGTGGCCTGGTCAGGATTCAAACCCCAGTCTGTTGGTTATTTGTCACCGCCACTAGAATGAGCATTTGGGGTGAAATTCCCGTGTGTTGCTCACCATGGTGATGAGACAAGGTTACCATTAGGTCCTGCCACTCAGGTTCATAGTTTCATAACCAGAGTGTCCTCTTTGGGAGTACAAATAAAAGTTGTTTGTGATGCAGACATCTGGGGTGTGGCTCCCGACATCTGAGATAGTCACGTTGGTGGGGTTAACTCGAACACAGGATTTCTAAATCTCAGGACTATTGACATTTTAAGCCACATAATGCTTTGTTGTGGGCGCTGTCCTGTGCACTGTAGGATGTTAGCAGCGTCTCTACCCTTTAGATGCCGGTATTCGCACCCCGGTGTGACACACACAAACTCCCCCAGACCACGCTGGGTGTGGAGCCTGCTTAAGATTCTCTTTCTCGGGGTGCCTGTGTGGCTCAGTTGGTTAAGCGACTGCCTTCGGCTCAGGTCATGATCCTGGAGTCCCTGGAACGAGTCCCGCATCGGGCTCCCTGCTCAGCGGGGAGTCTGCTTCTCCCTCTGACCCTCCCCCCTCTCATGCTGTCTCTCATTCTCTCCCTCTCAAATAAAAAAAAAAAAAAAAAAAAAATTCTCTTTCTCCCTCTCCTGCCCCTCCCTCCCCACCCCCTAACCCCCACTCCCTGTTCCCGCACGTGTGCTCTCTCTCAATTAAAAAAATGAAAAAAGAAAAAAAGAAATCTTCTGCCCAGATCTGAATCCCTCCTTTCAGATCCACTTCAGTTCTACCCCTCCATCCCAGGAATACTCTGTTTTTGAGAGAGAGATACTGTTAATTTATATGAACAATTATTAATTCCTAGGTAGTAGGCATGTGCTAGGTGCTAGGAAAGGTGCACAGGCATGCTCCGTGTCCTCAAGAAGACCTGCACAGTTCAAGATGGTAGCTGTAGCCATATGCCACCAAATTTACATTAATTAAAATACAATAAAAATTTAACTCTTTCAATTGCACTGTCCACATTTCAAGTGCCCAGTAAGCACATGTGACTATTGACTTGTCCTGGACCACATAGATAGAGAATATTTCCATCATTACAGAAAGTTCTGTTGCACATCGGAGGTTGGCAGACTACAGCCTACAAGTTGAGTCTGTCCTGCCACCCTCCTTTGGTAGAGAAGTTTTTTACTGGGACACTATCATGCCCATTCATTTACATGTTGTCTGTGGCTGCCTGGAGGCTGCTGCAGCAGAGTCGAGTAGTTGCAACAGAGGCTGTCTGGCCTGCAAAGCAAAAAAGGTTTACTGTTTGTTCCTTTATAGAAAAGTTTTGTCCCTCCCTGGTCTAGATCAAGCAGGGAATGGGGTGCACTGGAGAATTGCAGACGATTCTCTATGTCAAGAAACTAAGGCACAAGGGCGCCTGGGTGGCTCAGATGGTTAAGCGTCTGCCTTCGGCTTAGGTCATGATCCCAGACTCCTGGGATCGAGTCCCGCAAGGGGCTCCCTGCTCGGCGGGGAGCCTGCTTCTCCCTCTGCCTCTCTCTCTCTTTCTCTCTCTCTGTCTCTTATGAATAAATAAATGAAATCTTTAAAAAAAGAAAAAGAAAGAAACTAAGGCACAAGCTTGATAGTTAAGTTGGAGAGGTGAATGATAGCAAGGTTCCGGAGAACCTGGTATGCCTGCGTGTCTCAGAGTGTACCCTGACGAATACCAGACCCAAAGAGGTGCTGTACAGAGGGCTTCGTAGTTCAATAAGTTGCCAGGGCTAAATACTGGCGCCACCTCCTCAAGCTTTCACAGGCATGTTAAAGGCTCTGAGAAGTCCTGCAAGGGCGGGGGTGGGGGGGCGGATATTCTGTTTTGCGTAGCCTCAAAGATATTTAACTGAAGAATCATTTTTTCTTCTCTAATACCTAGGCTGAACTCCTGCAGTACTGAGGTTACTTGAAACACATTTAGAGATGCTTGGCCTTAGGGAACGATTGAAGGCTTTTAAGCAAAGGAGTGACATATTCAAATGTGCAAGTTGCGGTCCTTGATACTTTGTTGGCACATCTCAGTGGTCCTAGCCTTACCTAGAGTTATGGGAATTATGAATCTGTCAAACCAAGCCCAACTATTCTCTTTGAGGCAGGCATTGTTTTATTCATTTGTATCTCTAAAACTCCTTGCTGGCTTCAGACCCTTTGTAAATTTTCAGTATGTTTGTGGAATAGAAAAGAATTGGTTGAGGGGCGCCTGGGTGGCTCAGTCGTTAAGCG